TCAAGGATTTCTGACTTTTTTTTTCAGAGTCTCTCTTTCTTGAAGTAACCTTTTGCTACCTGTATTTGCTCTCTTACCTCTTTGTTGGAGTGATCAATTTTGCCTGTAATTGCTCATTTAGGTCATTCTTTAATTCACAGATAATTTTAATTATGAACCTTCTGAAGTTCTTCTCTGACATTTCATCAACTTTGCTGTCCATGGGTTCTGTTATTGTAGTATCCTGGTTTGTTTGGGGCACTTTCCTCCCTTGTTTCTTCATGTTGTCTATGTGTCTTCCTTTCTTGTAGTGTGTATCTGAGATATTACAGTTTCTTCCTTATATTCTTGTAGTACCCGTACAGATTGTCTGTACCTCTCCTTGATGTTGAGCTTCTAGACCCTGCTGGTGTCCTTCAATGTATGCTACAGAATCTAAAGGTGGTGGTGGCAATAGCCGAGGTAACTCAAGATAATAGGTAAGGTGCCCCAAGATGGAAGCAATCTCTTACATAGATGGGACTGAAAGGGTGGGTCTCACAGTCCCTTTTGGATGCCTGCTCTGAGATGCAGCTGCTTCTAGGCCCTGTCTATTGTCAAAAATTTAGGGGCTACGACATGAAGAAGGCTATGGTGATGACGGTTGTATCCCAAGATGGGAGTGGGTTAGGCTTAGGTTCCCAGATGTGGGGGAGTTGGCAGCAAACTCAGACCTACCCTTTACCTGGGTCCTGAGCAACTAAGTATTGTTGGATCTGGGCTGGGCCTGGGCTCCTCTGGTAGTCTGCTGGTTGGAAGAGGTGGTCCTGTGCCAGAGGCTAGGCTTTCATGGGTGTCTTCCCAGCACCATTTTTTGAAGAGGCTATCTTTTCTCCAATGTATGTTTTTGGTGTCTTTAAAAAAAATTGTTCTTTTTAGATATACATGGCAGTAGTGTGTATTTTGACATATTATACATACATGGAATATAATTTCCCATTCTTGTGGTTGTGCATGATGTGGAGTTACACTAGTCATGTATTCATATTTGAACATAGGAGAGTTATGTCCAATTCATTCTACTGTCTATTCCCATCATTCCCTCCCTTCTCTCATTTCCCTTTGTCCAATCCAATGAATTTCTATTCCCACTCCTCCACCCCCACTCCCATTGTGTGTCAGCATCCATATATCAGAGAGAACATTTGGCCTTTGGTCTATTAGTGTTGGCTTATTTCACTTAGCATGATTGTCTCCAGTTTGGGGTACCTTTGTCTAATATGAGATAACTGTATTTATGTGCATTTATCTCTGTGTCTTGTATTCTATTCCATCAGTCTTCATGCCTGTTTTGGTGCCAATATCATGCTGCTTTTATTACATAGAATTAAGATATATATTTTAAATGAATAACTATAAAGTGAATATTCATGTAACTACCACTCAAATCAAGAATTATTCCCTTGATAGTTAACCATCATGATGCTGTCCAATTACAACCCCATCGTTAGACCTCAAATTACATTTCCAACATTATATCTTATAATATTTAATTGTCACATCTCCTATGTTCACTTAGAATATTTTTTTCTTTTTTGAAAACATGTAAATAGGTTATAAATTTACTTGCTCAACATTATATCTGTAAGTTTCATCCACATGGCAACTAGATAGGGCCACACTTATTTTTATTGCTTAGTACTACATGACTCCATTATATGAATACACTGCAATTTTTCTGGATCCAATCTACTGTCGGTGGCATTCCCCTCCCCTAAGTCCCAACATATTTTTGCTATTATGAAAAATAGTGCTGTGGAAATTCTCATATTTGTGTCCTGTTAACCAGGAATAAAATTGCAAAATATAAAGCTTAAATATCTTTCTGTAACACAATCTTCTGCAGAATGTTTTGGCCAATCTGTATTTCCTCCAGCAACCACAGAAATTCCTGTTGTCCTGCATCTTACCAACACTTGGAACTGGAACGCTATTATCCTGCCTAATGCTTAAAAAAAAAAAAACCTTTAGCCATTCTTGTGAATATTATTTTATAAAATGATGGTCTATTGTTATGGTTTTTATTTAAGTTTTCTTCTTATTGATGAGGCCAAGCATATTTACATATTTCTAAGTCATATAGAATCTCTGAAATGAAAATGATTGTTATCTTCTCCATTTTTTTCTCTCGAATTTGTAGTCTTTTTCTTATTTCTGTAAGATAATGTGTGGTATAAACCTTTGTAAATTATATACATGATTCTACTTATTTAATGTTCAAAAAAAGTTATCAATTCATGGCTCTATGCTACTTTTCATTAAATTTACCCTGTTTAATTGTTTTCTATTTCTTCTTGCATCTCTGATCTTCCTTCCCATTTTTATTCTTATCAAAAATAAAACCTTTACATTTTTCTTAAATTCAAATCTTCCAGTAACAAATTTTTGTTGATGATGATGATGATGATGATGTAATGATTTATTATTTCTCTCTTGATCACTGAAAGATAATTTCATGGATATAGAATTATAAGCTGGCAGGTTTTTTTTTTCTTTAAGAACCATGGAATTATTATTCCACTGATTTCTGTATTTTATTGTTGCTATTAGGAAGTCAGTTGAACTCTCTCTTTAAGGAGCTATCTTCTTAGAAGATCATGTGTTTTACTTACTATGAAAAGTACCTTGATGTGTATGGGTTTGATTTTCTCTTTATTTATCATGATTAGCATTCATAAATCTTCCTGTATCTCTGAATTGGTGTCTTCATCACTTCTGGAAGATTCTCAATTATTTATTTAAGTATTAGCTATGTCACCATTTTCTCCTCTCACTTCTGGGACTCTTAAATCTAGCTATGCTTGTCTTTTATGTTTTGCTTTTTCAAATATATTTCCCTTTTATATTTATTTCTCATTTTTAAAAATTTTTGTATCTCTGGATACTTTATTCTGACCTAGGTTCCAGTTCTCTAATTGTCTTTTTAGCTGTGTTTAATCTATTTACAAACCCATCCATGGAGTTTTTAACTCCATTTATTGTTTTGTCCACGTTTCTACTTGATTTTTGTGGGGGGGCTTATAATTTATTTTGTAGAATTGTGTAATTTTTGCACTAATTCTTCATAAGTTATGCAACTTACAAATATCTTCTTCCAGTTTGAAACTTCTTTTTTCACCAATTATAATATCTTTGATATTTAAAAATCATTAATATTATTATAGTCAAATTCACAATTTTTTATATTTGATATTTTTTATTTTGTCTAGAAAATATTTTCTTATTCTAATATTTTAGTTACATTTAAATGAAATTTTCCCTAAGAATTTTTATAAAATCCTCATTTAAGTTACTAATTTCATCAGAATTGCATTTTTATATGGTAAGATGCATGCATAAAATCTTACTTGTTTCTTTGCCAATGCCAGTTATTGAACAAAGCCTTTGCCTACTCAGGGATCTGACTTGATACTACTGTGAATAGGTCTTTTCTTTACTTTCTATCTTATCAATTTATCTATATTTTCATTAGAAATAAATGTTTTTATTACTGAAGATCTTTATTTCATTTTCTACAACAGCTGACAAGCTTTTCTTGGGCATTATCTTTCATATAACTTTTATAATAGCTTTATTGTGTACTATTAAAAAATGTAGAAATGTGATGTGAATCTGATTGGAACTTTAGAATTCAGAATTGATTTCTTTATGCTACACTTTTGCAAGTCTAATAGTACTGTGGGTATCCATTTATTTAGCTTTCATGTATTGTCTCTTAATAATATAGAGTGGTTTTATAGGTAGAGAGCATATGCATACAATTATGTACGTAAATATATGTGTGTACATATGATATAGAAAAACCTTATTGACTTCTGTATATTGATACACATAAATTTCTCTATTATTTTTAATTTTTCTGTAGTAGTATTAGGTGCTTCAGTGTAAATTATCAAATAAATCATTCCAAATAAAGGCAGTTCATTTACTTCTTTTCAATCCTATGTGTATAATTTATTTAATTTCTTATGACATTTACTTTACCTATATATATGATGTCTTCTTCATTACATTTATAAGCCATTTTTGTCTTTTCTTTTTTCTCCATTTGTGCTATCATTTTTGCCTGTAACATTAGGTTATTTTTCAAAGAAGCAACTTTTGACTTTGTTGATCTTCTCTGAGTTTATTCTAATGTTAGTGTCCAAAACTATACATTTCCCCTAAAGAACTGTTATTATTTTATTCAATGTCATTTATGTTTAATATTTTCAACACAATTTATTTCTAAGAATAATTTTTAAAGATATTTTAATTTCATCTTAACCTGTAAAATTTTTATCAGTTAATTTTTAAATAAGAAAGTTTTTATTTATTTTATGATTTTGAACTTATAAATTAAATATTTTCAGGTCACAGAGTCATGTAGTACTAAGCAATAAAAATAAGTGTGGCCCTATCTAGTTATCAACTTATTATCATTTTAAAGTATTTTTGTGTCCTTGAGAATATCAAGTTTTCTATATGTTGATTATAGGATTAATAAATATAAAACTATTGTGTTCAAAATACTTGATGATTTTTTTTTCCTGCTTGATCTGTCAAAAACTGGGAGAGATTTGTTGAAATTACTCATGACATTGGCAGATTTAATTCCTCCCTCTGACTTTGTCTATTTTTGCTTTATATATTTAGAAACCATTATATGAAGTTCACATTTGTTTTAAAATGTTATATCTTTTGAAATTTTAGATTACATAGTAAACTTTTTCATACTTATTAATTTCTTTATTGTTTCTATGACACTACCCTGATTTGTATTTTCTCGTATCACTGATTGCTTAGGCCTGAGCTACAGACGCGGCCCCTGGAATTAGGTAGTTTGTGTCAGCATCACCTAACCACATGGGTTAATAATGAAAGATGGATGTTTTCCAAGAGGAAATTAGGGGTTCTAGTAAATGCACTAAGTAAGTACAACAACCTCTAAAACTAAACCAGTCATCTTTTTCCCATCTATGTCACCACAATTTTTTATCCAGGGTCACTCCTTCTTTGGAATTGGAGACTATATTTAAATGCAACTTGGCCTATACAACTTTTATCTCTGGGTCTGCACTGAAGTGGGAGGATCTGAGGCGAGTTGCGGTAAGATTTTGTCCTTTTCCTTCTTGTTTCCCTAAACCACAACATTTAGGATGATAAGTGTACACTGTTACTTCAACAGCTATTATTCCAGATACTTACATTTAAATTAATTATTTCACTAAGTTGTCTAGGATAGTTTCACCAGTTTCTGAGATCTGAAAAAGTTATGAATAGCAAAAGTGTTCTATCTTACCACCCAAGGAGGATTCTTACCAGAAGACATATTAGTAAAAGTTGAAGGTTTTATCTGATATGCAGAAGCTAATCCAAAATAAGCTGGGGGTGGGATAAAGAACAGAATACAAGAAATGTCAGTGGAATAGACAAAGAAGAGTGAAGGAAAGGGAGGAGAGATGGGATGAGGAAAGACAGTTGAATGAATCTAACCTAATTTTCCCATGCACATACTTGAACATACCATAATGAATCTCACCATCATGTACACACACAAGACACTAATTAAAAAAAAAACTATAAGTAAGTCAATGTCAAAAACATCAGTAGGACAGAGGGAAGGGAACAGAGGGAAGAAGGAAAGAAGGGGAAGTACTGGGGACTGAATACGAACAATTTATATTCCATGCTTTTATAATTATGTCAAAATGAATCCTACTGTCATGTATAACTAAAAAGAACCAATAAAGAAAACAAAAGAATCTATCAGCTTTAACCAACTTCTCCAAAACATCCTAATACACATTCTTATAGAAGCATGAAGGAAAACAGCAGAAACTCCATTAAGATAGTGACTATAAATAAGGAGCAATAGCTGACCCTTAAATTAGGTTTGGTTTTAGGTGAAAGCCAGCTTCCTAACATGTTCTAAGTTTCATAGAAATGATAAACCTTATCTTATTTCAGTTTAGAGCAAAACAAGTATAAACACTTGAATCAGAAAAATGACAGATACAGTTTAACATTTATCTCTCTTACCATTCCATATTATAAGCACCATTTTCAATAATTTCCTAGAATCTTAAGATTCAATCTCAGCTGTCTTAAAAGGTAAATAAATATACAAGCAGTTGCTGGAAAAGGTCTTACTGCTCATCACAAGACATAAAACAATGGTGATGATGGCAGGAAAAGTATAGCTTTGTACTTAACCCACTTTAAATCAACCTTACATCTGCATTAGAGACCCTGTGATCTGGTCCATCAACTGGAGTCCTCTTAGATCTGCAGCATTTGTGTGATCCTGATATAAAGGCAACCTTATTAAAATTCCTTCTCAAGTGTGTTCTCTTTCTCATTGTCAAATTTATGATTACAATATAAAAAAGTGGGAAGGGGGAGCAGCAGAATATTTCCCACATAATTAACAATACAGTTGCTGTTTAATCTTGAAGAGTAGGTGGAGTCTGCGGAAGCATGCCTGATTATAGCCAACCCCTTGTGCAGTGATTTACATGCTGAAGACACTTCAAATATTATGAGGTAAGAAGCTGGCATTATGTTCCAATGCTGATATTTGATATTTGTTCTACCTCTATTAAAACAAATTGCAGGGCACAGGACTAAACAGGAGAAATATATATATATATATCGGGGATTGGACCTACAGGAGCACTTAACAACTGAGAAATATCTCCAATCCCTTTTTATTTTATTATTTAGAGACAGAGCCTCCCTGAGTTGCTGAGACTGGCCTTGAACTCTCCATCCCCCTGCTTAGGCTGTCCTGTGCCTGGTATTTCACATGGTTATTAGCTATCTGAATTTAAAAAGCAAGCATACAAATAACTGATTGCTGTTTAGATAGCACTGTTATGATACAGAGTCTCTCCTCCTCAAAAGCAAAGATTCCCATTTATGAATACTATTAATACACTTTATTTATTAGGACTTCCCTTCAGTTCAGTGTGATGTGCTTGTGAATATTGACAAATATTTTTAGGATGCATAGAGTGTTTCCATCTTTTCGCTATGAGCTTATATGAGATGAGGAGGAATTTGACTTGTGCTGGCAGAGATTCAACTGATTGTGAGGGCAATGGTATAGTGCCTAATCCACATGCACTTCCAGTCCCCAAGGCAAAATAAATATACATAGCTGAAGATGACTCTGCACATAGTAATAAAAAGCTGAGAACTTGCACCATGCATAATACACTGCATATAAAATAAATCTTAGTTTCCTAATTCATAAAATGAGAAAGTTGAAGTAGACGTTCTATGAGCTATTCAAACTATAAATAGCAAATAAATCTGGTGTTTTTTCTGTAATTACTGTGTTTGGGTTTAAAGGCTAAAGGATGTATTTATTTTCTCCCAAGAGCTTGTTCCAGAAGACCATAGTCTTCTCTTTCCAAGCACTGACATTTTTATAGATTTGATTTACTTAGCCACCCAAATATGGCACTCTTCTGTGCATGCTATTAAATAGAACAATTTTAGGAAATAACAGAACACTGAATTTTATAATATACTAAGTTTTCCTAAACTACCCACATGACATTTTAACTTATTTGAATTATAATTCAGAGTCAATATGACAGCTCACTAATGAGAGTAATTGTGGCTTTTGCAGGGTGCTCTCTATCAAAAACTATTACCCAAAGACTAGAGTCATCATACAAATCCTTCAGTCCCATAACAAGGTAAAGTGACACCCCTGAATGCTCAACCTCCTCCTACTGGGTCTGTGAGACTACGTGAACCCTATTACCATCTAATGGATCTACAAATTAGAAAATATTTACCAATCATAGGTGAAATTTGGTGTATGATTAAGATTGTTGATCACTTAAAGATGTCAATGGGAATCAGAATTACCTTAAGCCATCTGACCTAATTTTGCAACTCCAGCTATTTTTGTCTTAAAAAGTAAGAGCAATTAAACACTAACCACTTTCCAATGTGGAATTTATTCTTATCATTCCTTGACCTGAGCACCACATTTATTCGCAAGAATGAAGAGTAAATGATTTCAAGGAAAATTAAATAAAATCTGCCAAGGGCTTTATTGAGGTATGTGTGTATTCTTAATGCTTGACCTACTTTCTACCATGAAACAGGATTTCCTGCCAAAGATTCCCAGCTGGAACTGGAGTACTGGAGACAACATCATCTGTTTTGCTGAGTTAAAGCTTGGATTTATGGCTCAAGGCTGTCTGGTGCCAGGCTTGTGTACCTTTCTAACGTCTTTATTTGTTGAGCAAAACAAAAAGGTAACTTTATAAACTGATGTTGAACCTTGGCTCCTTTCCCATGTCCCACATATTAGGATCACAAATAGAAAAAAAAATTGAGGAAAGCAAGAAGTAAGTCCCCAATAAACGAGATTTGATTTCTGCTTGAGCTGAGAAGAGACTGAGAGATCTAGACTGAAGTTCCAGGTTCTTCTTTGGTCTTAAAGAAGTCACTTGTCTTATTATTTCTGTAGTATTTATTTGCAAACAGAAATCATAATTATTCTTCTTCCCTACATTTCAGAATGTTATAAATGTAAAAACATTCAAAACTTTGGAAGCACTTTGAGTTATTGAAGGTAGAAAAATAAATATTATATTACTAGTAGAGAAATCATATTTAAATTTAAATAAAATACGAATAATATAATAATTTACGTTAATAAAATATACATGATACAAATAATAACTAAAATCTAATTTTCCAGATTATTTTGGGAAAGTCCCTGCAGTAGTAATAACAGTAATCACTGATGAGTACTTACTGGATGTGTTGTTTCCCCTCAGGGATATGTTAATGTATACTTTAGCAATGGATTGTGAAGCTAACTAAGTTGATTGTACAGTTAATTAGTGAAAAGGAGACCAAGAATTCCTGGATCCACAATCTTGCCATTATGCCCTTTGCCTCTACTATTGGGTATCCACCCATGGTCTTCCACATCATGTCTTTGATATCTTTTCCTGAGACAAAGTAAGGGCCTAAAAGGGACTGTTGGGATGAACTTCTACAGCACAAAGTGTTGTCATCTGTTATAGTTTAGATATGAAGTATCTCCCCAAAACTCATGTGTGTGACGATGCAAGTATGTTCAGAGGTGAAATGATTAGATTTTTATAGTTGTAAACTAATCAGTGGATTAATCCATTAATAATATATTAATGGTAACTGCAGGCAGATAGGTCACTAGAAGGCGTGCCTTTGGGGTTTATATTTTATCTCCAGTGAGTGAAGCCCCCTCTCTCTTTGCTTCCTGGTTTCCGTGTTCTGAGCAGCTTTCTTCCACCATGCCAATTGGCCAAGATGTTCTGCCTCACCTTGGGCCCAGAGCAATGGAGTCAGTGCACCAAGGACTGAACCTCCGAAACCATGAACCAAAATAAACTTTTCCTCCTCTAAGTTGTTCTTCTCATTCCCTTGGGACACTTTGGAAAGCTGACTTAAATATCATCCAAATGCCATTCTGATGAAATGCTCCAAGAGAAGAGTTCAAACCCTTGACTGGTCCTGGTATTCCAGAAGCCTTCCTGAGAGTGACTTTTCTGTCCATTTAATTCTGAATTCAGATTTGCTATTTTGTATATTCCATTTCCTTCTTAGCAGGCCAGTTTTAAAACCACCTTTTGGGAATTATTTCCTCTGTTAAATACAGATTTTTGCACTTTTCCTATTCTTTCCCAGTGCTATTAAGGAAAAGCAAAAAAGGTAAAAGATCCAATAGCTAGCAAAATGCTGACTGAAACAAATATTCTGAAATTCCTTCTATAAACATAAACAAATCTAATATACAGATAAAAAGAGATAACCACCTGGCAAAGTGGCACAAACCCAGCAATTCAGCAGGCTAAGGCAGGAGGATGACAAGTTTGAGGACAACTTCATCAATTTATCAAGGCTTTCAACAACTTAGCAATATGCTGTTTCAAAATTTAAAAATAAATAAAGAAAGAAAAATGGTAGGAGATGAAATTCAGTGATAAAGCACCCTGGGTTCAATCCCTAGTAGTATTTAAAAAGGGTGGGTAGATGCCCATTAGGACAGAGATGACCATCAGGCAGTAGGAAATAAGCTTTGATAAATACACACACACACACACACACACATATGTATACACACATACACACACTATGTATGTATATTATACATATATATAATATATATATATATATATATATATATATATATATATATATATATATATATATTTAATAAAGTCTGAAACTCCTTCAAAAATTCAAAAATCCTAAACTGGACAGAATCAGGGCAAGATTTAAAGCTATACTCTACCCTGGTGCTTTACAGTCTATAACACACCCATGGACTTTGGTTTAGTTACCAGGACTTCAAAGTTTTATGTCCCATTTTTCTCAAATTAGGTACATACGTTCCCTGTCAGTTTTTCCATCAATAAAATGAGGATCATTAATTTCACAATCTCAGTTTTCCAAATATTAATGTCTATAAAACTTATGAGTACTCAGATTAGAAGACATTAAATCAATCCCATGTGTTTTAATTATATGTTTAATATTGTGAGAAATTGTAGTCTGAAAACTGTTTCTAGTTGGTTACGGGTTCAGAGCCTTGAACTCATGGATTCTTCTATCCAAAATCCTATTGCTCTCCTCCCTGATCTCTTAACTCAGGAAGTTTTCTTCATCTCCATGGCTGTTATTTTTACCTTCTTTCAAAAATTGAAACGGTAAAAGATTGAAAGCACCAAGCCAACTTCATTGGTAATTTAGACTCAAGTGGTGGTGTGAACTGCCAAATGAGGGAAGCCCTCCTTAGGAGGGGAATTTCAGAGATTGGAAAATGGGAAGAGTCAGCTAAATCTTGGTGTGGAGGAAGGGGGTCAGGGCAAGGTGCTGAGTTATTTGAAATAAGTAGTCCTTCTTAGCAGGCCAGTTTTAAAACCACGAGATGACCATCCGATGAGAATTTCTGAAGTGGCCATTACTCTCCACAGTGAGAATGCTCTGCTGTTCTTTACTGATCTTTCTTTTATTTCAGTTGAACTCCCTCCCACCGCCCAATGCTTTTCCTTTCTCAAATGAATCTGACCTAACTTTCTTATCTACATATAAGAATGTGCCACAGTGAATCTCACCATCATGTATATCCACAAGATACTAATTAGATAGATAGATAGATAGATAGATAGATAGATAGATAGATAGATAGATAGATAGATGGCAAAAAGATCAGGAGAGCAGAGGGAGGAGGGTGGGTAAAGGGAAGTACTGGTGACTGAATTAGAGCAAGGTCTATTCCATGCTTTTATAATTACATCAAAATGAATTCTAATGTTATGTAACAAAAAGAATCAATTTAAAAAATTGAGAAAATGCTCCAGAGTCTATAGAAAATTCAGATTCTCATCTGAGACTCTGGATTGTAAGGGACTTGTTGTGCTGTATCTATGAGAACAGTGTGGTGGCAATTCTCATGTCAGCAAGTGGGAAGGATGAGGAAGGGTCTTACGCCAAGTCCAGGAGGAGTTACTCAACAACCTCCCTTCAGTCTACATTCAGCCTTTATTAAGACATATCTTCCTCTTCACCTCTCCCAATTGTCTAGAAGTCTACTACTATCTTTGATTTTTACATTATTATTGCCATTCATCAAATTGTATCTTTGAACTCATCTGAATCAATAAAGGATTCTTATTCTGGGTAGAAGGCATGATTATTTTTCTTTGTAGTATATGGTTCATCAGAAGAAAACCAAGATGTTTCAAAACTCATTCTAAACAGTCACCTGCAGAGAGAGAAAACTTAGATTCTTCATTATTGCTCCCATCTTATCATTGTCACTAACTCAAAAACACAGACCACTGTGCTGAAATTAGGAGTGGACCAGAGAGAAGAATTCTAATCCTCAACCGGAGGCTCAAATGCTGTTGTAGATAGGTTTGTTTGTTTGTTTTTAATTGTTGTTGTTTTTGTCTGTTTGTTTGTTATGTTTTTGCTGTGACCAAAATACTGGGCAAGAACAACTTAGAGGGGAAAAAGTTTATTTGGGGTTTACAGTCTCAGAGGTCTCAGTTCATTTTTGCCCAGCTCCATTACTCTGGGCCTAAGGTGACGCAGCACATCATGGGGGGACGGGCCCAGCAGAAGAAAACTGCTCAGCTCATGGAGAGATCAGGAAGCACAGAGAGATGGGGATAGGAGTCATAAGAAAGATGCACCCTTCCAGGGCACCCCCCCTAGTGACCCACTTTTCCAGTCATGCCCCCCCTGCCTACAGTGACCAGCCAGTCATTCAAACTAGGATGTACTCATTAGGTTATAGCTCCCAAGATCTAATTATTTCACCTCTGAATATTTTTGCATTAACAGAAGCTTTGAGGAGGGACTTCTCATTCACAAACCATAACAGGACACTGTCTGGGAAGGAAATTAGTCATGGTGTATCTTCCTCATTCTGAACTTTTTAGTGAAAATTGTTTCATTTCTTTCTTCAACATTTGTCCAGTTGTACTTTGTAATGTATCTCCTTTCTGTGGAAACTGGTTTGCTGCTTAGAAATATATTCAACTTGTATACACACCTTCCGTGGGACATGATTGTGTGTTACAGATTTCTCCTAAACAGACCTGGCAAAAATATTTCTTGAATAGCCTGAAGAACAAAATCCTGACTCAACGTCTCTCTGATGACTTTGCTGGAATGAGTTTTCCAGAGGTTTCCCGGTAAGTTAAGTAAAATACTTTCCCACCCTCTTCCCACCACAGCATTCTTTCAACACTGTTCATGGAGGGTTCACTGTAGGCCAGAGTCCGTGACAAACCCTGAAAATGTAAGAATGAATAACTTGGAGTCCCTGCAACGATACGATGCATGAGGGATAGTTTTGTGTCAGTCCTAGTTGGTACACTGGCCCAGTGTGCCTTCAGGAGGATTGGAAAACTGCTTTTCTCCCCAGCATGGAACACAGGGTTAGTCATAGCCTTGTAAACTGGCACCCTGCTTCTCTCTCTCTCTTCTCACAACTCTTTGTCTTCCTTCCCAGGCTCTGCTTTGTGAAGATGAACCTTATGCTGATAGCCATCGAATACAAGTCCCTCTTTCAGAGTGGTTACTGGTACCAATAAGGCTTCTTCCCATTTTGTTGTTGTTGTTGTTGTTTGTTTGAGAAAAAGCTTTATGATTAAGAATTTTTTAAAGGTAGAAACATAACTAAGCTTTTGGCCATAAAAAATATAAAGATATATATAGAGATATAAAAATATATAGAGAGATATAACTAAGCCAGTCTCTTGGGCACCCAACCCAGGCTCCCATTGCTATGATGCTCTTGGTGCTGTCTTGAATTATGGGTTAGAATGGTTTTCCTAGTAGCTAACCATTTTGTTTTTGTTCCTAGTACCCTGCCATGGTTCTGCCTTATGAGCAGGAGAGAGTAGAAATGGTCAAGTCTCAGAGTTGTTCCTTTTAACAACATTATCAGATCTTGAAGGTCTTGACCATAAATCAATACCATGAAATAGTATTATTTGGAATAAAAATACTCCCATGAACTCTAGCTTTAGAAAATAAGATGCAACATCTCATAAAATGGGAACTTGACTTTACTGAACAAAGTCTGCTGTTGGTTGATAAGGTCGATGAAAGAAAAAGGTAATATCACCAGACCATTCATTCGCATTTTTTGAGAAACTGTAAGTGGATAATATGAGAAGTTGTCATGTAATAAAAAATACAATTTAGGATGAACTGAAGTACATAAACATAAATGAGAGAAGCAAGAAGGAAAGTGAATCAACTATAGTAATATGGAGGTAAAAATGCTAAAATGTAAACAGTGGTGACTAACTGGGATGAGGATCAAGAAATGCTACTTTTGTAGATTGAAGAAGGCAAGTTAATGAATCTCTAAGACCCCTGCCAGCTCCAAAATTGGTATTACAAGAAATCCTAGAATTATACAAAACATTCGAAATTAGGTAATTCAGATACACCATGAAGGAGTTATTTTGCATAAATGGCTTGAAGGAAGAAAAGAACTCTTTGAATAGGGAAGTTGCAGAAGGTAGCTGGGCAAAGGAAATCAGTGGGGTACCATCGGTTGGAATCATTAGGAAGAGAATAACCAATAGTATTATTTGACCGGCTAAATCTATTTAACAGTTTTGTGGTGCTCAAGAAGATCTCAATTTCAAGAGAATTTCAGTATTTCAAGAAAATTTAACAATTTAAACCTATGTATCTAAACATCTGCAGAAATGGGACTTTCTACCAGAAACAGGTCCTCATTAAAAGAATAGTGTCAGAATATTTAACCAGGCAGTTTGGGTTTCTGACTGGCAAAAACATTATCAAGTTTTGGTAACATCCTTGGCCTTCAAGAATCTGAGCTATGCATCAAAATTATTTTCAAAATTCAAAGGACAAAGAGATTCCCAAATCCCTTATCTGACTACAAAATCAAAATCTCCAGGGGTGGGACCTTAGACATGTTTAAAGTCTCTATAATTTCTCCAGTTTATTCACCAGCCTCTGGAAATTGGCCTTTGGACCACATGCTGTTCATACCATTTCCAACTCTAACACTCTAGTTTTCTTTAAGCTTTATTAAAATGACTGTTAGGACATTACAAACCAGAAACATGAATGTTTCGCAGGCAGCCAATTTCCACATGGATTAAAAAGGTCCTGGTGCTGTTTACCTCCTCTACACATCTGCCTTAATGGAAAAAGGACCTGCTCCAACAAATTTAACTTTAGTTTCTCATTGAAAAGTCAAGTGAATCAAAAGGATTAAATCCTGGCTTAGGGAATGTATTGATTATAGTAATCTCTCACATAGCTGCTGCTTCATGACCATAGGCATTTTATATACATTCATTCTCCTGTCCTCTAACCCTGCAGTGCAATGTGTGTAATTATTAGCTCCATTTTGTTGTTGTTGTTGTTGTTCAGAAAGATTAATTAACTTTTCCAAGTTCACACAACTCTCAAGTGGCAAAGCCAGGATCTGAATGCATACAATCTGGCACCAGGGACTATGCTTCTGATCACCATTGTGTACTAAATCCACCTCAGTCACTATTGGTAGAAAGAAGACTAGACATCTCTATAGCTGGGCCTCAGCCCAGTGTACTGAAATACCAAGGGAAACCTATCTTTTGTCCCCATTCATTTTCTCTTCTAACTGATTCACTTAAATGTGCTCTAAAATTTGCAAATGCCCTGGATTATCATAAGGCATTGTCTTAGGGAATAATTTGTCACCTGCTAAGAGATTGTTTGATCTGACCCTAGTCAGGCAATGTAATGAGTTTGGTCCAGTGGCAAATATTCTATAATAGAGCAACTGGCTATGTAGGGAAGATCAAACAATAACTCTGGTTTGGAAAGGTCCAAAAAAGTTTACCTCTTTTCTCAAATTCAGTACGATACACTATTGTGACAATACCTTTGTAGCTAGATATTTAACATGAGTTCAGAGAACCCTCCCACCCATAGCATCCAGACAAAGAGGAGAAATATGGGAAACTCAATAACATAAATGCTGTGACTCTACTTTGTGTACAACCAGAGATATGAAAAATTGTGCTATATGTGTGTAATATGAATTATAATGCATTCTGCTGTCATATATAACAAATTAGAATAAATAAAAAATGTTAAAATAAAAAACTATAATAGAATACTGTGGCAAGCAGTATCATAGATACAAATTTATAAGACAAAATTTCCATATAAGCAATAAGAAAATAGAGAATCAAATTGTCTAAGTAATGTAGAATAGGCATAATTCGAATGGATTCTGCTCTCAAAAACCTTGCAAACAAAATAGAAAAAAAAAGAAGAAGAAGAAGTAAAAAAATGTGTCTTCAAAAGCTGCATGGATAAATAAATGGAACTTTTGAAACTAGCTGGTTAATTAGATACAATTCCATTTTAAAGATGTGTGGCCTGAGGATGAAAAACCCTAGCATCACTGTAAGACGAGCAACTATGAGGTCCTGATTTATTTGCAGTTTGATAGCCATGTCAACATAGCATCATGTGTCTGAATGGGTTGGACCATCTTAGATTCATGACACAACCCAGGAGGAACTTCTCTTCAGTGTGGCTGTGCATGCAGCTTAATAGTCAGGTGGTTGCATGGTCCCTTCAGCATATTTAGCAGCAGTCAAACAAAGGATTACATGTAGTCACATTCACATTTTCCACTATGTTTGGCAGAAAAAGAAGATTGAGTCCTATTAACTCAGCAACTTAGGAAGTCCCTTGGTAATGACAGAATGAAATACCACAGAAAATCAGCCTCAGACATCAGAGGGAAAAGTTATTGTATTTGTGTTTTCCATTTTCAGTGGTCTGATACTAAATCCACCTGCACAAATTAAGCTAAGGAAGAATACATTAGGATTCTTTATTGCTGAATCGCCAAAAGAAGTCAAAAGGTAATTTTTTTTTATTACGTTATGGGGGTGGGCAGTGCCTAAAGCACATACAACATAATGGGAGGCAGGCTGAATCAGTACACCATGCCTTCCTAGTGTGAAGACTCACATAAGTCATTCTTGATTTGCTTTCATTGTCCAGAGCCTTATTTTACTGTGCCACCTGTCACAGTGATGTGTATAATCCTGAGCTAATTGAAAAATGTGACTGCAAAAGTAAGAGCCGACATCACCTCTCAGGTAATCAAACTTTATATTTAGCTGCCCTTAACCCAGCTTTTAAGGTTCTGGCCAAGGAAAGAGAAGAGGGTTCCATCAACTAAAAGACAATTCCCCTTTAAATTTGGCCAAGATGAGTCATACTTTTTTCCCCGCTGGGTGTCCAAAAACTAAGATTTAGTCTAACTCAACTGCCCTACGGACAAATGAGTTCCAAAAGATATTAAGTAATGTCCAAAGTCATAACTAGTTAGTGGCGTCACCAAACTCAATTCCAAGCATGCAGACTTTCAATCCATTGCTTTTTCACTCTTTCACACTGGTCTTCCAACTTTGGCCTGATAATTCATGCTGTATTTTACTGTTCTCTTGGTCATGAGGATGTCACCTCCTGACTGTTCCTTGTGAATTCTGTTTCCATAACAGATGGCAGGCAGTTTAAAGTTTATTCATTTTGACGCAGTGGCAAGGGAATGTAACTTTCTCTATTTTTCTCCAGGGCTTAGCAACAACCATTTTCACTTAAATGCAGGAAAAGGAAAATTAATCTTAAGTAGTTATGATAGCTTAGTCTCTTCTGGTTTAAAAGTTAGTTTCTTCCAGGTGCATTCAGATTCTTTGGGTAAAATCTCAGTGTTTCAGAATTTAAACTCAGTCAACTTAAAAATGTAAATTTTCTAAGAGGGATGTTTCTTATTCCTAAGATTATTATTCTCTCCTTATCTTCAGAATGCTACTTAAACGCAGAAATAAACTTGCTTAGCATCATGATTGTTCCTATAGCAGACAGCAAATACAAATTCCTCCTGAGGCATGCAGTTCCTTGTCCCCTTTGGTCTGTAATTGTCACCCTCTGTGACCCTCACATTGGCAATCAATAAATCTGCTCCATTTAGTTTGCAGTCATTTATTATGGAAACCCATTGTCCTTGTCATAGTCTCTAGTCTTGAGGTCTGTGAAACCCTCCTTTTCCATAATTCCAGTCTCTTTGCATTCTCTATGTTACTTTGGTCCCTCTGCTGTTTAGGATTTTTTCAATCTCCCCATGTGTGTTACTCAGCTTTCCATCACTGTGGCAATGAGCCTGAGAAAAATAACTTAAAGGAAGAAAAGATTCATTTTGTCCCACAGTTTCAGAGGTTTTAGTCCATAGTCACTTGGCCCCATCCCTTGGGCTTGAGATGAGGCAGAACAGCATGGCAAGGAGTGTGGGGTAGAGCAAAGCTGCTCAACTCAGGGTGACAGGGGAAGCAGAGAGAAGGAGAGAAGGAACCAGATATCCCTTTCTGGGGCTTGCATCCAGTGGCCTATGTTTTTCAATTGTGTCATCAGCTGGGGAACAAGTCTTCAACACATGAGCCTTTGGGTCACATTCCAGATCAAAACCATAACAGCCTGTATACATGTCTGACAGGTTGCGGGATCCTAGATGAGTGCCCTCCTGAGACTTCTCTCTGCTTGCACACCCACACTGCCCTGCCTCTTCCTGTGCAGTCTGCTGGCATTATTACTTCACATGTTCCAGGTAGTCTACCAAGAGAACGGTGAAAGGGAAATTCCTCTCTCATACCCTCCCCTTGCCCATCACAAAACTTTCACGTTTTCCTTTTTCTTCCCAATCTCTCACCAGCCTGAAGAAGTGTATAGTGTCTGTGTGTAAGGGTGGGAGACTCGGTCATGTCTCAGTGGTCTAGGATCTTTTTTGTTTAGTTGTAGATTAAATAACATAAAATAAGCACCATACCCAATGCAAGTGTACAATTCAGTGGAGGTTAGCAAATGAACACAGTTGTGCAACCGTCACAACAATCAATTTAGAACATTTTTCTCTTCTCAAAAAGAAACTCAACACCTGATAACAGTCACTCCCAGTTTTCCCCTACCTACACCTGTGGAAAACACTCATCTGTTTTCTGTCTCTACAGCTTTGCCCATTCTATTCATTTAGTCACAAGAGAATCATACATGAATACACTATATATACTTATACCACATATAGCATTTTATATGACTCCTTTAGAAAACTCAGCCACACTCTAGCATGTATCAATACCGCACTCCTTTTTATGAATAAATAATATACTTTTGTATGCAAATACCTTGCTTTGTTTACCCACTCACTTGTTAACTGCTCTTAGGTCTCTTTCGAACTTTTGGATATTGACTAGAATGCTGCTATGAACATTGATATACAGATAACTGTTCAAGTTCCTGCTTTTGAAATTTTCTGTACATATACTCAGAAATAAGATGCCTAAGTCAAATGTTAATTCTATATTTTCTTTTCTTTTTTAATATAATTTTTTTCAAGAGAGAGAGAGAATTTTAATATTTATTTTTTTTTAGTTTTCGGTGGACACAACATCTTTGTTTGTATGTGGTGCTGAGGATCGAACCTGAGCCGCATGCATGCCAGGCGAGCACACTACCTCTTGAGCCACATCCCCAGCCCCAATTCTATATTTTAATCCCAAGGAAACACTATACTGTTTTCACAGCAGCTACCTCATTTTACCTTCATACCAGCAATGCACAAGGGTCTCTATGTCTCCACATTCTCATCAACACTTTTTAACTCCCATAATTTTTGTTTTGTTCTTCAGTTATAATCATCCTAATGGATGATGTGAAGTGATATCTCAGTATGGTTTTGATATTTCCCTGATAGTGATGTTGAGCATCTGTTCTTGAGGATCTCATTGACCATTTTTGTATCTTCTTTAAAGAAATAGTACTCAGATCTTATTTTAATTAGGTCATCATCTTTCTATTAAGATGAGTTGTAAAAAGTCCGTAGGTAGTCTGAGAACCCATCCCTTATCAGAGATATGATTGGAAAATATTTTCTCTCATTTTGTGGTTTGCATTTTCATTTTCTTCAAATACTTTGAAGCACATTTTTAATTTTGATGAAGTTCAATGATGTATTTTTTTTCTTTTGTCACTTGTGTTTTCATGTAATATCTAAGAAGGTTTTGACCAACCTAAGGTCATAAAGATTTGCACTGAGAATTTTGGGCTCTTACAATTAGTGCTGTGATCCATTTTGAGTTGACTTTTGTGTATAATGTAAGGAAAGAGTCCAACTTGGTTCTTTTCGGTGTGGATATTCATATATCCCAGAACCATTTGTTGAAATGATTATTCTTTTCCCATTGAACTGTTCATGGCAATCTTTAAAAAATAAATAATAATTAATTAAAATGTGTGGGTTTATGTCTGAAGTCTAAATCTAAATTTTATTCTATTTTTTTAATATTTATTTTTTAGTTTTTTTTTTTTTTTTTGCGTACACAACATCTTTGTTTGTATGTGGTGCTGAGGATCAAACCCCGGCCGCACGCATGCCAGGCGATTGCGCTACCGCTTAAGCCACATCCCCAGCCCTAAATTTTATTCTATTAATCTATGTCTAGCCTTATAATAAGTACCATACTGTCTTGATTATTACAGTTTTGAAGTAAGTCTTGATGTTGGGACATATGAGTTCTCCAACTTTGTTGTTCTTAATCAAGGTTATTTTGGTTATTCTGGATTTCTGCATTACCATATGTGTTTTAGGATTGGTGTGTCAATTTCTGTAAGGAAGCTAGATGGGACTTTGACTTTGATTGTGTTGAGTTTATAAGTCTATTTTGGAAATATTGATATATTAAGTAATCCAATCTATAAACATATTTTACGTCTGTTTACTTCTTTAATTTCTTTCAACAATTTTTTTGTTTAGTTTTCAGTTCTCAGGTCTTATATTACTTTTGTTAAATTGTGAAGTGTTTTATGGTTTTTATTATTGTAAATGACATTGTTTTCTTACTTTCATTTTAGAGATATGATTCATTATATCATATAGACATACACTTGATTTTTTTCTCTTTTTTTTTTTTTTTTTTGGTACTGGGAATTGAACTCAGGATCACTTGATCACTGAACAACATCTCCAGCCCTAGTTTGTATTTTATTTAGAGACAGAATCTCACTGAGTTGCTTAGTGCCTCACCATTGCTGAGACTGTCTTTGATCTCACAATCCTCCTGCCTCAGCCTCCTGAGCCACTGGGACTATAGGTGTGTGCCACCACACCCGGCACAATTGATTTTTGTATATTGATAGAGTATTCTGCAACCTTGCTGAGACCAATAATTTGTTTTATTGCCTTCCATTTAACTTCCTGCCTAGTTCTCTGGTACAACCCCCTAGGATATGTTGAATAGAAGCAGTGAGATCCCACACCCTTATTTCATTCCTACCTCAGGGGAAAATATTCAGTCTTCCACCATCAGGTATCATGTCAGCTATGAATTTCTCATAGATAGCTTTTATCTGGCTGAGGAAGTTCTGCTCTATTACTAAATGGTTAAAATGTTTCTCTTGTGAAAGGTTTTAACTTGGTTTTTTTTCCTTTCTCTTTATTGAGATAATCATGCTTTTGTCTTTTACTCTGCTGATATGGTGCATTACATTAATTGATTTTCAGATGCTAAACTAACCTTGTGTCCTGAGATAAATCCCACTTGATCATAGTGTGAAATCATTTTTATGCGTTGCTGGATTTGGTTTGGCAGCATTGTGTTGAAGAATTTCACATCTAAATTCAATGGAGATTTTGGTCTGTGCTTCCCTTTTATTATGATGTCTTTGTCTGCTTTTGCTATCAGGGAAAAAAACACTTTATTGTTTGAGTTGGAAAGTGTTTCTCCTCTTCATGTTTTGGAAGAGCTCGAGAATTAGTGTTGATTCTTCTTTGAACATGCAGTAAAATTTTACCTGTGAGAGAATCTGGGGCTAACTATATATACGTTTTTGATTATTTATTTACCACCTTCCCTTATTCTTAATTGTGTAGATTTTCAAATTCTTCTTGAAAACTATTTGATAATTTGGCTTTCTAGAACTTTGTTTACTTACTCTATGCTGTCAAACCTCCCATCAAGTATCGTAGACATAAGTATCATCTTGTATCTCTTTTTATTTTTTATCAGGTCAGTACAATATTCACTATTTCATCTCTGATCTTAGTCAT